TGTATAAAAATGTACATAACTCTATGAACAAATATAAATAATTGTGTGAACAAATATACATAATTGTGTGAACAAATATACATAATCAGAGCAACTTCCTACCGCGCCTCCCAAAACGACGTCGTTTTGGGAGGCGCGCGGCGCACAGTGCTACGCGCGCCGTGGTGTAGGGTATAACGATTGAAAAAATATTGTTCCTAACATTAAAACAATGATTGTTGTATTAAAAAAAGATAATAACAATTCTTTCAAAACACAAATTGATATTAACATAAAAAGATCTAAAAATTAACATTGGTACTCTGGAGCTTTGTAATATTATTCTTTCGCTTTGGCTGTGGCATACCAGTTCGTTGTTCCTTTTCCTCTCTCCAAGTATATAATTTCTTCTTTTCATGCCCAAGTCAAACAGACCACAGTCATCGAGAGCCCAATTGAAACCATCCATCAGGGAGGCAGATTTGATTTTGTACGTAGGGTTCAGGGAATAACAAATTAGCTTCGTAACATTCTTGTCTCTCCAGAATAAGGCCAAGCCTCCTCTAACACCACCACCATCCACATAAATTAAAACAGCCCTTCAAAATTAATCTTACGCTTCAAACGTTCAGCATGTTCCAAGCCTACCTTTGTCTCCATTAAGAAAATGAACATTAGCTTTGTCTTGGCTTCGAGAGCCAATATTTCACGAACTGTGCATGGATCGCCAAGTCCACGATAGTTCTAACATAAGGTACCCATAAGGCCCGCCATAACCTTCTTAAACAATGATTTACCATTTACCTCATTATATAACTAATTAGACTTTAATATCATATATTCTATTTTGTCTCTAGGGTCCAAGATATTTTCATAAAAGATTAGAAAATTCATCTTATCTAGATCACCCTAATATTAATCAAACTTTGCCCTCATATTCAATCCCATAATCTTAACACTACTAGATTCAACTTCTCCCTATTCCTTCACAATGAGAATTTGATTGAATTTATATCTTGTTGATGTGTGGTGTGCAACACTCATTAGCTTTCCCATGGAGGAAATTCAATCACAATGATAATTTGATTGAATTTCCAAGCCATTACTTGCACGAACTCTATTTCCCACTATGAAAATAGGGAGATTTTAAATGTTGTGTTCTTTAAGAACTTGGATTTGAGGCATCATGAGGGTGAGACAATTCTTAATCTTAACCCTTGTTTATTCGATCGCGAGAATGACTTGTAGACTAGGATTCTTAGTGCATTCCCATTAATTCCCTAGCTGGGGGTGTTTCATTCGTCCAATCCTATAAGTTCTTTGCATCTAGAAGATTATGTTTCCTTACTTGAGCCCTTGATTTCCTTAATTACTTTTCAATCTTATTTTATAATCTTGTTATTTTTTTTATTTCCCCTTTGATTATTACTTGATCTTATCACCCTTCAACTTGCTTAGCTTCTTGATTGCTTCCTTACTTGGTGACTAGTGTTTAATTGTTGCATTTAACGTGCCATAGCGCCCAATCTCCTGAGGATGACATTTTATCCATTAACCATTTTACACATCATGTTCATTCATGATATCAAAAAATTTTGTTATTTTCTGGGAATTGAAATACCAACTAATGCAAAAGATACTCAGCTATTTCAGCAAAAGTTAGATGCTTTTAATTTTGTGTTTGGTCTCAGCCAGATCACTGGAAAAGTAGATGGTAGATCAATGGTTTCTTATGCAATAACATGTATTTGTGAGGAAGCAACAAAATCCTCTGATTATGATGATCTTAGCAAAAAACACAACACCAATCTCTACCGATTGTAGAGGAACAACCGAACAATCCTTGATCTTGAGTCATGTAGTTAAAAAGAGGCCCGCATGGGAGCTCAGTTAGTTATAGGGGTGAAGTTTAGGAAAAATTTGTTAAAAGGAGACTTGATTTTGATATTAATGAAGACAAGTCAGCAAATGATAAAGACAAGAGGGGGAAGGTTGAACGAAAAATGGGAAACATCGTCAATTGCAAATGCTGATCAAGATGAAGGTTAAGTATGCGTCACCTTTTGCTATCCCTATTAACAAATAATGATGACCTTTGTCTACTTGAAGAGAGCTAACCAGAACTCTCATAACTCACTTTTTGTATAATGCCATGTTTTGACTATATAAGAAACTATGTTCAGTAAATAAGGAGAAAATTCAGACATATATATTTTTTCTCTATTATGGAGCTAATATGATTATTAATTTATTATAATGTCATGCTTTGTTTTTGACTTGCCTATCCAACTTTAATACTCCATATCAACCTTTTGTAATATAATTAACTACATCTATATATGAATATTATGCCCTTGTTTTAATGAAATGTGTATCTTCTGATATAATTAATTATATTTATTCTCTTATTATCTTTAAATTACTATCCATATATAGCTTAATATTAAAGACATAATTAGACCTGTTGTAAAATTGGTGACCTAGCCGCCACGTATACAAGAACTAAATGCTAGAAAACTAAATTTACTAGCACATATATACTACCATTATGTTGATTTTACTTTTATTTAGATTTTAAACATTTGTTATATTGTGAATATATATCAATGATCCTATCAATATATTATTAATGATACTGTGCATGAAGAAATTGACAATACCAACTCAAATCAATTAATGTAATAATATTACTTAAGAATTAGAGCCATGCTCTTTTAACATGATTATAAAATTAAAATTTTATTTTTAAACTCGTATTTGTTCTTGCACTACACGCATCACATGTGGCCAACTACTATTAGAATTTTTTATTTTTTATTTTGAAAACGACTAGTATTAGAATTAAACTCAATTTTTTGTCAGATTATGTAACGTAATAGTAATGACGCCAACATGACATATTAAGACCATAATTATTGTCCTTGTTATAAATATCACCAACAACGGTGAGTAACAATAGGACTAGACTCAAACGATTATTAGAAGTACAAAAGGACTTAATTATTGCCCTTTATATATATATATATATATATATATATATATATATATATATATATATATATATAGGTTTAGGATAAGTGCACATGCCACTTCCCGTACGAAAATGCAGTTTGTGCACTTGAAGGCAAAAAAGTTGCATTCAAAGGCAAATAGATGTGCAGATGCAATTTCTGGTGTCAAAATGGAGGTTATTCAACTTAAGTGTTATTAGACCAATTACACATACAAATCGTTTGTAAATCTCACAAATTTCATTAGAAATTTAGTTATATGTTATTAAAAAGAATGCACAAGATATAACAAATAATTTTCAAAAATTGTGCACTTAAAGGCAAAGAAATATGCACCTGAAGGCATAAAATTGTGCACTTGAAGGAAAATAAATATACACTTGAAGGCATAAAACTGTGCACTTGGAAGGCAAAAGGGTTCACTTGAATGCTAAGTTTTGTTTATTTTTTTTTACACAATAGTAACACATACACTTTTAGGCATTAAATTGAGCACTTGAAAGCATAAAGAGGATCACAAGAAGACAAGGGAGAAAAATAAAAGATACTAAAAGGGAAAATTCTATTGAAATTAATTATGCACTTTAAAAAAGGAAAACATGCACTTGAAGGATACAAAACGTGCACTTGAAGACCAAAAGATTTGCACTCAACGGCACAAAGATGTGCACTCAAAATAGAAACTAAGTACTGAAAATAAAAGTGATGCACTCGTAGAAGAAAAAGTATGCACTTGAAGAAGAGAAAATGTGCACTCGAATACAAAAGACAAGCTGACTTATTTGCTCAAAATTACAAGAATGCCACCGTGCATTTTTTTAAGGGAAAAGTGTCAAATTGGCTCCCTAAGTCAAGTGGATAGTGCAATTGGGTCCCCTAAGTGAAAAAAGCTCCATTCAAGTCACCTAAACCTGTAAAATTGGTCAATTAAGTCCAATATGACTTGTTTAATAAATAAAAAGTATTTATTTTAAAAAATAAAATAAGAAAGACACGTGTCAACATCATATTGATTTAACCTGTTAAACAAGTCATATTGGACTTAATTGAACAATTTTACAAGTTTAGGGGACTTGAATGGCAAATTATGCTATGCGCACGGCGCTAAAACGGGGTCGTTTTCACGCTGTTTTAACTATAAAAAAAAATTTGTTCGAAACGCCGTTAACGGCATTAACGGCATATTCGTTATGAAATTATGAATATACAGTTATGACATTATGAATGTACAGTTATAGAATTATGAATGTATAGTTATGGAATTATGAACTTACAATTATGAACATAGAGCTTCGAAAATTATGAATGTTCGGTATGGAATTATGAATATACAGTTATGGAATTATGAATATACAGTTATGGAATTATGAATGTACAGTTATGGAATTATGAATGTACAGTTATGAAATTATGAACATAGAACTCTGACATTATGAACTTACAATTATGAACATAGAGCTTCAAAAATTATGAATTTACAGTTATTGAATTATGAATGTACAGTTACGGAATTATGAATGTACAGTTATAGAATTATGAATGTACAGTTATGGAATTATGAATGTACAGTATGAAATTATGAACACAAAGCTGTGAATATATACTCTATAACGAAGCGGTCTGAAATTAAATTTAAAAAAAAAAAAAAAGGGAAGATAACGGTGCCTGACGACACCGTTATCCGTGCCCATGAAGCACGCTGGGCACGAGCCCACAGCATAACTATCCGACTTGAATGGAGCTTTTTTCACTTAGGGGACCCAACTATCCACTTGACTTAGGGGGCCAATTTGACACTTTTCCCTTTTTTTTTTTTTAATTATCTTCAATCTAGGCTGTTGATTTGGACTATATCTATGGTTGAGACTTAACCCTATTTTTTACCTAAAGACCTCTTGCGCATTTGATCCACATCCTATATATATATATATATATATATATATATATATATATATATATATATATATATATATATATATATATACACACACACACACTGCAATTGTATAATATGAGCAAGTGCAGCTAACCTGAGTGTGAAACCTGATAATTAGTTAATACATTTGTCTGCCAACGGCATGAAATGAAATGAAAGCTTATTTGGCATACACAAATGTAGAGCCTCTGGGCCTCACAGGGTGCCTGACCCAACTCCCATCAGCAGTCCTCTCAAATATTCGGGGCTGTTTGGAGGGAAATGTTTCTCTCCAGTCTGGGTGTTCCAATACATATTCCCATTGCCTGTGAGAGAGAGAGAGGATCAATTTAAAGCTCAGTCCTCAGTAAATTAAATGTTACTCAGTAAATGCTACCAACAATGGTGACTACAAAAGGACTACACTCGACTATCACCAGAAATAATAGCATTAACCATGATAGCAATCTACAGGAGTTAATACCCAATTTGGCCCCTCGACTATTAGGATTTCACCACTTTCGTCATCGACTTCCAAACTTGCTCAATTTCATCCCCAACTATGCAATTTTTACCTAAAATAGTCTTTGGTCCAAACCATAGTCCTGATTGAGGACCATTTTGGTTAACAATTGCAACGTTGGGGATGAGAATGAACAAGTTTGAAAGTCGGTGACCAAAGTAGTGAAATCCTAATAATCAAGGAACCAAATCGAGTATTATATTTAGTAGTCAGTACATAAGAACAAGGTAACACAAATTTTCACTTTGAATGTGAACTATAGTGAAAACTGAAAACCAAGATAGCTATCCCTACAATACTTGGAGACAAGCACAATTTACCACATAGTCCAAGATAGCTATCCAAACTCCAGGTGCATGTAGATGTGTTGTCAAGTGGGCCTGACACTGATGTGGGGCACACGTTGGGCCAACCCACATTTTCAGATTGACAAACCAGCTAAATCCACTTAACTTATTAAAAATCTTTAAATTAATAATTTGAAAAAAAAAAGTTTATAAATTATAATTTATACTTTAAAATTTTTAATTGAAACTATAAAATTTTAATTTTATTAATAATTTATAATTGTTAAACTACATATTATTTGTACATTTATTTATAGTTTACTTACATAGGATCAGCTTCCCTAATATGAAAGAAAAAAAAAACATAGGCCCGGTCCAACATAACCCAATATGATTATTGCTAACAATTTTCTGCATACTTTCCTTTGAAAAAAGTGTTATATTTATAGTCTATGAAAATAGAAATAAAAAAGGTAAGAGTCACTAAAAAAAAGTGTTATATTTATAGTCTATGAAAATAGAAATAAAAAAGGTATGACTCAATCAAGGATAATCAACAAATATGTAATTCCATGATTTTAGCTCCCCAAAGTGTTGTAAGCCCATTCTTTGTGTCCTCACATGAGAGTCTCACAAGGATGCAATCATCAGAATCCAAAGGCATAACAAAAAGTCCACAAGCACTAGTTTGTTATACAAGGTTCATGGATCAAAGATTGTTGGCTATACAGAAATTCATTGGGTTGGATGCTCCTAGAATATTAGGTCACAATTAAGATATTGTTTTTCTTTTTTTGTGATAACATGCTTTCTTTCAAAAAAGTAAGGAGGATGTGGTTGCACAATCAAGTGCAAATGTTGAGTTTTGATCAATGGCACTTGGAACGTGTGAACTAATATGGTTGAAGCATCTTCTTACCAAGTTAAGGCTTTGTGAGCTAGGATCTATGACACTCATTGGTGACATCAACCTTCTGTTGACATCAAATGGTGTTAAATATTGCATCCAACCTGGTCTTTCATGAGACTAAAAAAACACATCAAAGTTGACTGCCTTTTTGTTCAAGAGAAGGTTGCTTCAAGAGAAACTCTTACGTCATTTGTTGACTCAAATGACCAGTTGGCAGATATTCAGCAAATCCTTAAAAGCCTAGAATAAGGTTACATTTGTAACAGTCAGGGTGCTCATGATATACATGCTACAATTACAGGGGGACTGTTGACATGCTAAGGATGCGATGGTTACCATCTAACTATCATCTTAATATTATTCCCACCTAGCTAGATTGGGTAGCCTATAAGACTTTCATCTGTGTGTATATATAAGTGCATTGTACTCATATGTTGAGATATACCAATATACACCTTTTTCCTTTTCTACAAGACTACAAATAAAATGGTCTTGGGTGAACGAACCTTAAAACAGGTAATGCAGCAAAACATAGACATGTTTACCTTCTTTGGTTATCCACAAAGTCAGGAGCCTCAGCAAAAGGTGAAGTGGAACACATATGAAGGATTTCTGAATCAGATAGGTTTTGCAACGATAGAGCAATATGCACTTGACGCTTGGTCCTAATCAATGAAAAAATTAAAACATATACTGAGGAAAATAGCTAGCTGAGTAATGTTTCAGTAAAAGACGTCAAACTAAACAGTAAAACAGAAATAGCAAGAAAAGTGAGCATCAACATCTATATGACTTCACAAATAACTAGTTTAAACTTCCTTCTATTATTTGAAAAATCATAAGTTCAAGGTTGGAATTTACCAAGCACAAGGAGCAATTACGAATTTGTCAGACTGAGTATCATATGTCTCCAGCAGTCTACCCTTGCAACTGGGGTCCTCAAAAGAAGCGGTCACTCGGATTCTCCTAACGAGTTCATCAGGACATCTAGTAGTTCCATCAAAGCTTGCTGGAAAAATTGATCCAGTGGCAGTTTCCACCTAGCAAAAACAAATGAGCCATATTGAAAGAGTAAAACTAGCAGAGATCCACCATATCTACATGTCCAAATTACCAGGAAACCATTGAAGATTGGGTATGGATTTCCTTCTGAATCTTGTCTGGTGTTATAACCAAGAACATGTAGAGTTTGAATATTGAACTTGTTGATGCTCTTTCCCAGAATTTCAACTATCTTGGAACACAGGGGAAAGGAATATCCCTCTAATTTTTCATGACTTTCTGTAACACCATTTTCGTGCTGCACAAAAAGCCCAACAGTTTCAACTTTACTATGTTGCCTCTAAGTGGGTAACTACATCTTGTGAAAATTAAAGACAACAGGAAAACTTGGCCCTGACTTGATGTGAGACATCATTGAAACCACCAATTAAATGCACCTGAACATTATATCCTTGCAAAGTTAGAAATTTATGAGAAAGTTTAAAGAGCTTATTAAAAATAAAGCTTAATACAGCAACAGATTGAAGGGAGAAAAATACATCCAAAATGGTGTCACTGTTTTGATCAAGAACAGAAGATAACATCTGGGTTAAGCCAACTTCAACAATACGTGGAGAATCCATATGGGCAACAGAGATCCTGCAACCAATACAGAAATATAGCATAGTTAGGGATGTACTTAGACAGTTTCATGAAACCACAACCTAGAGAGAATTTGGATACTTACATTCCACTTTTTGGGTTTCGTACGATAAGACCTACACAGGTTGTTGCCTCATCAGTACCAACCAACTTTCATATGACAACAAGAAAGTATTAAACTGTCAGTGAGGAAAAAGAAAATGAACAGAAGTCTGACAAGGAATTCCAGAACTACATCAGTGAACATCAAATGCAAAATGGAAGATAACACCTAGTAGCCTTTCATGAACCAAGACTTAAAACGAATTCTGAATTTTTTTTATTTTTTTTTCTGATAAGTACACTATATATGAGTTATAGAATTGAAAACAATCAAGTCCCCAGATCAGAGAATTAATATAAAGGTAAATTTTCTATTGCAAATGAAATAATATTAAAACGAAAATCAAATCACTCCACTGCAAGTTTACTTTGAACATATAAATAACATAAAAGTTAGGCAATGTAAAAAGTTTGGAGTAATATTTAGTGGATGCAACTAGGAAAAGGATGGTGAAAAGCAATACTAAAACAATAAGAAGTATACTAAGAACAAGAATATTTCGAACAATATAATTGATGGCATATTTTTTAATGCAAATATCAACAAGCAGGATCAATAGTCGCATAATTGCTTTGGTCCAAGTAGAGTTACTGAACAAAGAGAGAACTATTAACTTACATCAACAAGTGAAGGATCCACAGTTGCATATTCTTTTTGGAAAATATAGACCCATTTAATTTGTCTTGTTCTCACCAAATGAGAGTCATTGGAAAGAGAAAATTTCCTCTCCTGGACGGCACTAAATGAAGATGATGCAGATACCAAAGCAGGATGCTCCATTAAGGCCATCAATATATCGTTTCCCTGTTTAGAGAAAAAAAGGGGAAGGAAATATCTCTATAATTTAGTAGATTGTTAAAGCGGTAAATCTAAGAGTTCAAGTGAAGGTCCGACAAGTTAACTTTCCATTTTCCTTAACATTTTGTAAACCATAAAGTAACTTTATATACTTTTCTTATTTACTTAATCCAAATTCATATTTTTTGGGGGGTATACACAGGGTTTCCACCGTCTGACACAGTGACTAATCCACTCGATAGATTGTAGGCACCTCTTTTGGGTGGGACAGCAAGCCTCGAGATTTAAGGCTGCTCCATTCCTAAAGCCAATGATCAAACCCTTAACCTTTGGTTAAGGATGGATGAGTCCCTTCCACTCAACCACACCCTCCAGGTTAATCCAAATTCATATTATCATAAAACAGCTTTCTTTAGTACTTAGTAGGCATTTCTCCTTTAATCAAGTCAAAACACTCTGGTTAAAACAGCTTTCTTTAGTAGGCATTCCTCCTTTAATCAAGTCAAAACACTCTGGTAGAGCATCAGCCTTAAAAGATCACGCAACCATATTGATTTATTCAAACTAAACATCTTCATTTACAGCTTTTGTAGTTAGAGTTGCATCTAAATTCGGTCTCTTTACTAGTCTCCAAAAGGTTAAGCTTCTACCGCTCACAAAGTCTAAGAAATATTTCTACCAATCCATTCTGAAGTAGGGAGATAGTGAGGTACTGGGGTTAATGCAACACAAGTAACAACAGAACCAGACGAAATACATTATTCAAAAGCAGGACCGGTTTTTGTCAGAGCCAAAATGCGAACTCGTCGCAAATATATGAAAAAAATAAAATCAATTTTCGAGAATTGTACGTGCAAATTGCAAAACATATACTCCGTAAATATCACGAATATAAATTCAAAAGCACTCACAACTTCATTCACATTTCCTCAAGAACAATTCAGGTCAGAAAATTATGCTTCCAGAATACACCATGCACTCAAGCGATTGTATCGTTTACAGTTAAAGGATCCGATCTTTACTTGGAGATTCTGCCCGCATATTAACAATATCTTTTGAGAAGGTAAATATTAACAAAGTCTTAATGTACCTGAGACGAAGATGAATCATCGGAACCAGTAGAGAATGGAACCCCGCCGACGTATATCATGGTGATGAGGATTGACCGGAAGAGGTTTTGGGGAGGACGAGGAGTTTGTGAGAGATTCTTCCCAAACAGCTCTATTGGTCACAGGTTTCTCGGAGAGTCAGAGTTGAGTGTAAACCTCGAGGTACATAATCTGATTTCAGAAACTCCATGGGAGTATTATGCAATTATTGGTATCAGATGGTAGGTCAGTGCAATTACATAGACAGAAAATCAACACTTGAAACAACGCCGTTTAACCAATTATAGAATATTTTTGAAAAAGTGACACTTTTTCCTCTTGAATTATATAGTTATAGGCCTTGTTTGGTTAATGGCGGATCCGTCAAATTTTGGCGGATCCACCATTTTGGCATTTTGACTTCTGTCAAAACGCCAAAAAACCATGTTTGGTTATCAGCGGTTTGCTACAAACCGCTGAAATCCCAAACGCTGCTAGGAGCAGCGTTTGGGGTTGGCGTTTTGGAGAAAATTAAATTTTCTCCAAAATGCCCCTGTTTATATTAATTAAAAAAAATTAAAAAAAAAATTAAAACTGATTGAGGAGCCGAAATGGCTCCTTAATTTGAGGAGCCAAAACGGCTCCTCAATGTTGCCCATCTGGGATGGGCAACAAATTTGTGGAGCCTTGAGGCTCCTTAAATAGGAGCCTCAAGGCTCCATTCCCACTTTTCTCACCGATGTGGGACGGTGGGAAAAGTAGGAATACAAGAGGGGAGCAGCTTGTGCTGCTCCCTTCTTTCGTTTTTTTTTTTTTTTTTTTTTTTTTTTTTTTAAATTATTATTATTATTATAAATTATAAATTATAAATTATAATGTATACCCTTATGGTCATTTTATATGTTAACCGCCAATCTAAACAGCTAATTTTACCAAACACTTTTTTATAAACCGCTAATACAATCTGCTGGTCAAACCTGCTAATACAATCCGCTATCTGATAACCGCTAACACAACTCGCTACCGTTGACCGCTAACCGCTGATAACCAAACAAGCCCATAGTGTTTTTGTCGGCAAATTATATCATGCACCACGGTGCATGATCAATCATGCACTGCACGTCCTTTTGTTAAATAAAAAGAAACGGTGTTTGTTTTCTGCCGTTTCGCACCCTTTCGCAAAAAGTGACCCTGTTATTCAGTGTCATTTTGTATACACTGCAGTTTCAGTTCAACACAACTACAGTTTCATTTCGATATAACTATAGTTTCATTCGATATTTATAGACTCAAATATGTGAAAATGTTATTTTATTTTATTTTATATACACTATAGTTTCATTAAAACACAACTACATGATCATTTTGATATAATTACAGCTTCATTGTACAATATACACTCAAATATGTGAAATGTTATTCAGTTTCATTTTATATACACTGCAGTTTCATTTCACTATAACTACAGTATCATTTTGATATAACTGCAGTGCCGGTTTAGATATACTGTAGTGTTAGTTGGTGTTTAATACACCAAATAAACGGAATCCGTTAACTATAACGACGGGCCGTTTCTTTACTTAAAGAAACGACGCCATTTTTTACTGCGGTGCACATGCACCGCGAAGGCTGTTGAAGTGACTAATTCCCGGAAATTAGGAGGCGTTGAAAACAAAGAAATTGTTGAGGTTTTCTTATCATTTCTATCTAATCTCAACAGGTTTGATGTTAAGAAAAGATCTCTTGCAGGCGGTCTATGACGACTGGTTTTTGTCTCCTGAGTTGTTAATGTATCCATATTAGTCCCCTCAGTTATTTTAAAAATGATAATTTTTCTTCATTTTCTATTAAGTAGATATTTTTACCCTTAAAAATAAATATTTCATTTATTTTTGTTTTTCAACAAAATATTGTTTATATGTGAGAATATGAATAAATGTAAAAAAAATAGCAGACACCATTTGTAAATATTATATATATATAGATTTTATACTAATGCTAGTTAATATTAATGTTATAATTAATTAGAATTAATAAATTATTTGTATTTAATTCTTAATTTTGTTATTAGCATTAACTTTAAAATTATAATTATAATTATAATATTTATAGATAATGTCTGCTCTTTTTCACATTTATTCTTATTCTCACATATAAGCAATACTTTGTTGAAAAACAAAAATAAAGGAAATACTTGTTTTTAAGAGTAAGTAGCATGCGTGGGAAGTAGAGGGTAAGGAAGTAGAGCAAGGTGGGTGAAAATAGTGGTCTGGAGGAGGTTTGGTCCCTACCGGCTGGCATATAGTCGGTGGGGTGAGCCAATCAGACTCCTTAGGCCGCGGCGTGGCCAATGGGGACCGAGCACCTCCTAGTTCACTAACGAGACCCTCACTGGGTGGGAGTCATGGTGGTGAAGGTGTACATAGGCATACTTATGTAGGCGACATGGAAAGGGTAGTAATCGATCCCTACTTGCTTGATTAGCCATCAGACTCCTTGGGTATGGCGTGGCTAGTGGGCACTAAGCAGCACCTAGCGAGGGTGGGGACGTGCATACATGGGAAGGAAGGGGAGAGAAAAGGGAGGGTGAGCATAATAGCGTGGAGGGAGTCATCACCGGCCCTTGCCGGTCGGCGCATGGCCAGGCCCGGTCCTATCATTTTATAGGCCCAGGGCGTAGCAACTAAAATAGGCCCTACATGAAATTAATATACATTTTTATAACTAAATTTTAAATTAAATAAGGTTAAATACTAATGTCAAATAACTTAAAATAAGATTCAAATTTTTTTAACAATTTACATATAAATGAAAACAATTCTTGCCAAAGGCCTTGTGGTCTAGCGATATGGCTATGACTTCTCAAATGAGAGGACTCAGGTTAAAACCCCAATGTGAGGGTTGAGAAAGTATGTATGAACAGTTTATAAAAATGAATAAACAATTTGAAACTAAATAATCTCAATCACATTATTATTATTATTATAATAAAGTAATCATTATTAACAATTTATAAAACAAAATTTATAAACAAGAGCAGAGCATGAAATCTTAATTTTTAATTAATTCGATAAAATAGTTCGAATAGAAAACACATTATAAATCACATATTTTCTATATTGATATCATATTTATAAATACTTTTTCTTTTAGTTAGATCAATTTCAAATTTTTTCTAGATTAATTTGAATACAACAGACACACAAAAGAAGTAAATGATCTTTTAAAATAATTTTCATAACTAAATCACAAAATATATTAGGTATACATTATTCATTATAAAGCTCACAAAAATAACACGTGTTCTAAATATAAGTAGTAAATTACTCGAATAGAAATAGATTCAAAATTTGAGATGAATCACAAATCAATTTATATTATAAATCTCACTATAATTATAGAAAGGTAAAAAAAAACCACAAAATTACAAATTAAAAATAGAAATAAATTGCATAAGTTCAATTTTAATACTACATAATAATATATCTAAATTCATCTTTAAATAGTAGGGAGTGAAAAATTAATATAAAAGGTCACAAAATAACACGTGGTAGTAAATTACTAAATTAGTCAAATAGAAATTGATTCAAAACGTATCTTCTAAATCGCAAAGAGTGCAGTTCAACCCCTTAACCTTTTGGATACAAACATGGAATCATATCAATTAAGCTAACTAATATTTCAATTAAATGGATATATATTATTTACTAATACAATAACTATATAGTATATACATAGTGGGGTGGAGTGGTGGACCCCTTCCAAGTGTGGGCCCTGGGCAAGGGCCCAGCCTGCCCTTGCCCAGGGGCGGGCCTGCGCATGGCCGCCAGGGTGAGCCCACTACGGCCACTAGATTCCCTGAGCCACGACGTGGCCAGTGTGGGTAGAGTGCCCTTGCCGACAAGTCCATGGAGGTCGCTTACGCGTGAGGGTGTATGGTAGAGGGGTAAGGGGGTAGAGAAGAGGAAGGGAGGGTGGGGGGGGGGGGGAGGGGCAAGAATTTTGAGACGTGGGTGGAGACATGGGGCAAGGCATAGACACGTGGGTAGTAGGCATGAAAGATGAACCAAGATCATACGCTTGGCAGCCAATGGAGTGGTCCTCTACACTATAAAATGGGCAGCTTGTCTCCCTCCTAAACATGACATGTTTGATCACTACAAGACTCTTGGGGTGTCTTGTAAGCACTTTCAACTCATAGTTTCTAGTCTACTGTTTGGGCTATAGTACTCATTATTAAATTCTATTCTCCAATTTCCTAAGTTAACGACATTCTTTACTTTTTCACTGATTTCGGAAAAGAAAGAATCGGATTTTTCCAAATGGAGAAGTAGAGAAACATGCGTGAACGATCCCCTATGTCGATGGATCGAACCCGGCTCTACACATGTCATGCATTTTCCCTTCCCCCTCCACATACATTTTTTCCATTTCAGTTATTATTATTATTATTATTATTATTATTATTATTATTATTATTCTTATTATTATTATTATTATTACTATTATTATTATTATTATTATTATTATTATCTTAAAGTTGAATTTGTAAAATAAAATCAAAAAATTGGAGAAATGAAAAACTGGAGAAATGGAGAGTGAAAAATAAAAAACCGATATATAAAACTAGAAAATGAAAAACAAAGACAATTGCCCAACGTGTGCATGCTTGCAAATTATACCATGGACTATAGTCTAGCTTGCATTGTGGACCTTAGTGCAAAAATAACCTTCAGATTATGCAGTTGTCACATTTGTACCTATAGGTTGAAGTTAACCGTTTTTATACTTGTAAACAAATTGAAGACACATAACATGATAACTATAAGCACATAAACTGTTAACTGCAAGTACATAATATGTTAATTGCAAACACATAACATGTTAACTGTTCAAATCTCTGTATTCCATAATATTGAGTCAAGAGGATACATATATTTATACTAGGCTATACACACTAGCTACGGTAAGAATCAATAATATCCCTAAGATATTATACACACTATCCCTATGATATTATACACACAATCACTGAGATCATATCAAATATTCTTCTACCATATAATGTCTAACACTCCCCCTCAAGTTGGAGCATAGATATTGATAATGCCCAACTTGTTACATAAGTATTTTATTCGAGGCCCATTCATAGCTTTTGTAAAAAGATCTCCTAACTGTTCTCCTGTCTTCACAAATCCAAT